GGCGCTGTGGCTCAAGTGGTAGAGCACTAGCCTTGAGCTGAAGAGCTGAGGGACAGCACCCAGGCCCAGAGTTCAGGCCCCACAACCGGACCCAAAAAAAAATAAAAAACAGAGTAGAAAGTATTGACAGTAGATGAGATAATACAGAAGGGCTCCTTGGCATAGGTTGAAACTTCATAAATAAATATCCAGAAACAGAACAAATCAAAGGAAGACTGTTGATAAGTGGGATTGCTTTAAACTGCAAAGCTTCTGCATGGCAAAGGAAACAGCAAAATAAATAGCCCACAGATTCGGAGAAGATCTTCACTAGCTATACAATAGACAAGGGCCTCATATCAAAAATATACCTAGAACTCAAAAAATTAAATCCCCCCCCAATAACAAATCCTCAAAGAAACAATTACCCCATTAATAACTGGAATAAAAGTGAAAAAGAGACTTCTCTTGTGAAGATATAAGAATGACCGATAGACACATGATGCTATCTATGTTCAACAGTTCTGGCCATCAAAGAAATGCAAATGAGATTCTGCCTCACCCCAGTTAGAATGGCCGTAATCAAGAAAACAAATAACAACAGATGCTAGAGGGGATGTGGACAGAAGGGAACCCTACTGCACTGTTGGAGTGTAAACTTGTTCAACCACTTTGGAAAGTAGTATGAAGGTTCCTCAAAAGACTCCACATAGAGCTCCCCTATGACCCAGCAATCCCACTCCTGGGCATTTACCCAAATGATCATAAACAAGGCCATACTAAAGCTACCAGCACAACTATGTTTATTGCAGTATTATTTACTATAGCTAAGATATGAACCAACCCAGATGCCCCTCAGTAGATGAATGGATCAGAAAATGTGGTAAATATAAACAATGGAATTCTATGCCTCCATCAGAAATAATGACATTGCCCCATTTGTTAGGAAATGAGAACACTTGGAAAAAAATCAAATTAAGTGAAGTAAGCCAAGCCCAAAGAAACATAGGTCCCATGGTCTCCCTTATTTGTAATAATTAGTATATGTCTAGGATAGTCCTTGCTATCATAATAGCTCAATAGCTAGTACATATGACCATATAAAATAATGCTAATCAAAATGAACTCCAAAATTATACAATCACTTAATCATAATAAAAAAAAAGAACCTCAGGGAAGGGAGGGAGGGAGGGGATGGTAGGGGGAAAACAATGGAGGGGGTAACAATGTTCAAGAGGAAGTGTACTCATTACCTCACTCATGTAACTGTAACCCTCTGTATAGTATCTTTACAATAAAAAATTTAAAAAAATGAACTCCAAGATATGGGAAAAAAAGTTTTTTTTTAAATGTACTGTGTAAAGTGGCTTTTTTCTTTTTTCCCCTTTGGCTTATCCCCTGTTGTCACTGTTTTGATTTTGGTACCCTGTGTCTTGTATATATGTTTATCTGACTTGGGGAAGGGAAGTGGAATCACAAAATGGTAAGACAAAGGACAAAGGATGAGCCAACGCACCAGCGATACCCACAAGACGGTATATTAGAAAGGAACTGTGCCGCTTGGGGAGGGTGGTAATTGGAGAGAAAGTGGGAGAAAAGGAGGGAAGGTGTAACCACGTTTGACAAGAAACGTACTCAGTACCTTACTTATGCAGCTGTAACCCCTCTGTACATCACCTTGACAATAAGATAAAATTTACAAAATAAAATAATTGATCAGCAGAAATAGATTTTCCACAGCGAAAGAAAACAAAGTCAATGTGAACATCAACATGTGTTTTAAATAGACCAATTCATTCGAAATAACCTACCTTACTGGCTGGTAGTTTAATAAAGTGAACAAATAATACATCTTTTAAAAGATAAAAGTGTGTTTGGGCTGGGAAGGTGGCTCAGTGGTAGGGCGCTTGCTTTGCATGCATGAGGCCCTGGGTTCGATTCCTCAGCACCACATAAGCAGAAAAACTAAAGCCGGAAGTGGTGCTGTGGCTCGAGTGGTAGAGCGCTAGCCTTGAGCTGAAGAGCTGAGGGACAGCGCCCAGGCCCAGAGTTCAGGCCCCACGACCGGACCCAAAAAATAAATAAAAATAAAAAATAAAAGTGTGTTCCAGAAAAGTCCATCTAGATTTGAGACGGGGACCGGGGTTGGAGACAGAGAAGAGCCTGAGGTCTTCATGAGAATCGTGTGGTGGGCAGGAAACACCCACCGCTGGTGCGCGGTCTCTCCTTCCCCCACACTGGGTTGCGGGCCCCCGGATGCCCGCCCTTCCCTTCTGTCACCCTTGACTCCCAGCTCCCAAACCAGCCCACCTGCAGCTGGGGTCTCAGCCAGGCCGCCTGCCTCTGCTGCTGAGGCCAGCTCCGAGGCCCGAGAGCCTGCTCCGGGGACCAGCCCTTCCATCCCAGCCTGCGGGCCCACACAGGCCTCTCCCCGGGCTGCTGGGCTCCACCCAGAGGACACTGCCTGTGGGTAAGACCACGGCTCACAAATGTTCAGCTTGATAAATCTGTGAGAGGCACAGAGACCGACGGCCAGGCCAAACCCTGCTGCTCAACTACAGGAGCAGTGTGGAAGGGCGCAGGCTGGGCATTCCTGTGGAGTGTTTCCAGAGAGGAGTAACTAAGGGGGGGACCCCCCTGAGCACGTGGGCCCTCACAGGGTCGGACCCAGGTGGACAGGGAAGAAGGAAAAGGCTGCTAACAGCCTTGCTCTCCTTCCTAGTCACAGGCCGCCCTCCTGTCCTGAGACTGAGAGGCAGACCCACCCTTGCCGGGTCGTTGCTTTGCCTGGGCATTTTGTCGCATTCAGTCACGTTTTGTTCCCATATAGGGTGGACATTCATGACGCTCTGGGACTCTGGCCAGCAGCCTCTGGGCACACGCAGGCACAGACCAGTGAGCCAGACCCGGCTCACCGGGCACTCCGTGATCTGTGGCACCGCTAGGGTTCCTCTGAGAATGGCAGAGGCTGCGTCAGGGTCCCGGGAGAGGAGGCTGTGGATGGGGCAGGCTCGCGCCCGCCTGGGCTCACAGAGCCAGGGTCACCCCAAGTAGACTCAGCACCCTATGAGCTCAGCACCCTGCAGCACTTGCTGGTGGTCACAGAAACAGCCCTTCTAGTCCTTGAGTGCCCCTGGCAGGCGTGGTCCCAGCACACTATGACGAGGAGGAGCCGAGGCCTGGGCCTTGGGAGGACACGGAGCGGGAGGCCCTGACACCCTGCGGCGGTGCACCGCACCGATCAGCACATCCAAGAAAGCTCCAGCCAGACCCCCAGGACCAGCTCCAGTGAGACAGCCCAAAGCCAAACACAGAGTCAGCCCCGCTGTCAACTCGATGCTGCCGCTCTCCTCAGAAGCCTGAAACAGAACAAGATGTGGAAGGTGACAGTTCAGTTACACGAGCAAGGGGTTCACCGTCCACGGGCTGCCCCACCATGGAGGGAGTGGCAGTTCTTCCTCTTATCCCCACCCCAAAACTCCAGTGGAAAAGCAGCAGTCAGAAGAAAGCAGGCTGCCTGCAAAGATGTCCGAGCTTAGATTCCTGAAGGTCGTGTCCGCTCTGACACCAGCCGCCTGTGACCATGAGCAGTGCAGATGACACCAAAGACATCTCGGCCCCACCTGGTGTCGCCGCCTTCTTCCCGTCCTGGAGGAGATGAGGGCAGCAAGGCTTCTCTGGGCCCCAGACCCCCGCAGCCCCTTCCTCGTGTACAGGGGAGGCCAGGGCACCCGGTGCCTCACACCGGTGGCCTTGCGTGCTGGTGAAACTAACCCCAGGACAGGCCCTTCTCCAATGCTGGCGCTCATCATTTCTGAACTTGGTGGCAGAGCGCGCTCCAAACCCCACAGGTTGGATTCCCAGCCGGTGGGCTCTGCCGTGCAGTGTTCTTCAGAGGGAGTGAGGCCACAGGGCTGTAAAGACCTGGAGAGGTCCCCGAGGGGGCCGGGCCAGGCCGGCGGGACCCGCCAGGCCTGGGTGTGCCAGGCAGGCCTCCGTGAACAGCACAGGGCAGGCATGCGCCCAGCTGCTCAGGCGGAGCCCACAGCCCAGCACCAGCGGAGCTCAGTGCCCATGCTGGCCGGCTCCACAGGCTCTGGACATACACGTGCCCTTCCCGAGTGCCTGCAGCCGGTGTGCCCCCCTCCCCCGTGTGCCCGCAGCTCACACGCCCTCCGGATGCCCACAGCGCCGTGCCTTCCCCGGGCACCTGCAGCTCACTCGCCCATCCTTCCTCCTAGCCACCGCCTGAGCCCCGCCTCCCCGCCCCCACCGGCGCGCGCGCGCGCGCACACGCATGCGCACACGCGCACGTGACAAGGGACAAGAACAGTGGCCTCCCTGCAGGGCAGGGCGGAGCCCAGCCCCGGTGCTCCGGTGCCGCGGGGACCCTGGAGGTCACAGAGCCCTGCGCTCCTCCTGCTCACCCCACAGCTCCCACTTCTACCTGTTCACACATGAAGCTCCCAGGCCACTTGGAGAGAGGTTTCCCTGAACAGATACATCCTGAGGATGAAGACCATGTTTGAAAGGCCTGAGGAACTGTCTGAGGGCTCTGCACTAACAGAGACACAAAGGCCATGTCGCCACTCCGGTTTTGCTGCAAAGGTGACTGATCCAACAATACCAGGAGCACACTCTGGGAGCCGCGGTATGAACAGGTGCGCTTGCGGGCTGAGAGGAAGCGGCCCTCGTGGCTCCTCAGCCCCCAGCCTCTTGGGCTCAGCCAGAGCCTGGCGCCCTGGGGTCCCGGGAGCTGGGCCAGCCATCAGCATGCCTGCCTGGCCAGGTGTAGCCACTGTAGCCCTGGGAGAGGCACCTCGTCCTCACAGCCCGAGGGGAAGGGCCTGCTGCTGCTGCCAGGCGCTCCTGGCCGGGCTCGGGCCCGGACGCAGCCCTGTGCTGCCCTGGGAGCCGCTTGGCAGCTTGGCAGGGACAGCTGGCTTGGGACGTCCCTGAATTAGTTATTTCTTGTTTTTTCTCAGGACAAGAATAAGCCGGATGCCAGTGGTTCACACCTGTCATCCTAGCTACTCAGGAGGCTGAGATCTGAGGATCTTGGTTCAAATCCAGCCCAGGCAGGAAAGTCCA